GGGAAGAGCGCAATGGTGGTGCCAACTTGGGCCAGTGAAACGACGTCCTCCACAACTAGACTGAAGAACAAAAATGACAGCAACTTGTCTGTTCCCCTTCCCCCAATTCCCCAATAAAAATCTTTAAAAAAAAAACAGAAAATAGGTATCTTTCACCCCAAAATGTCTTGGTGCCTGTCAGTAATCCCTCCACAGCCTTCGACATGCCAGGCAGCCACTGAGCTGGTTTCTGACCCTGGAAATGGGTTTTGTTTTCTAGACTTCTGGAATTATATAGCATGTGTGTTCTTTAGGGCTTCTTTTATTCAGCGTAATTACTTTGAGGTTCGTCCATGCTGTATCGTGTCAATAGTTCATTCTTTTTTTTAAATCACTGACTAGTACTCCATGGCATGACATACCCCACTGTATCCCTTCCTCTGTGGGGGGACATTTGGGCTGTCTCCAGTTTGCGGCCATGACGAATGAGGCTGCTGTGTACACCCGTGTACAAGTCTCTGTGTAGACCTATGAAGCAGGTGACTTCTTAGGGCGTTCTCTTCCCCTCCTCAGCTCAGCAGCTCCAGGCCCTGACCCATCCTTGTCCTTCATTGTAATCCAACACAGGATGAAACAGGAAACCTGCTTGCTTGGGCTCCAACCCTGCTCTACCCCTGTGCTGTGACCTTGGGCCACTCCTGGTGTCCTTTGTTGGCTGGGGATGGCCTTGCTGCCACCTCCTGGGGCTGTTGTGAGCGTTCCTTGACGGCACGGGTCCGAGGCCCAGCACAACGTTCAGAAACGGCAGCTGGTATTGCTTTGCCTGTGCCCCTCAGAAGAGCGATGCCATCCTAAATCAGCTTCCTCTAGCTGAGCGGTTACCCAGCCCTTTGTACTCGCCCTATTTCACGGAGGAGGAACTCAGTCCCAAGGGGAAGACGACGTGATCAGGGTCAGTCTTTGAGTTGGGGGGTGAACACAGGCGTCCTGACACCCAGTCCGAGGGCTGTTTCCTAGACAGGCGATGGCGGCGGCGCTGGAATGCCCTTGGAATGTTTCTAATTACCTGTCAGTGAGTCTCCTGAGGACCCCGAGGGATGGCTCAGCACGGCCGCCCAGAAGGCTCTGAGCCCCAGAGAGCTGATGGGAAATCATGCTCATTGAGGCAACCCCCAGGACGCAGCAGTCCGGAAACACGGCAAAATCACAGTCAAATCATGGATGGGTACAGACAGGTGGGGGCAGAGAGCTTCCACCTTTTATCCTGCTACCTGCCCCACAGGGCTCCAGGTAGCCTAGGAGAATCCAAACCAAAGGGGCTTCTGTGTGTCTTAGATGGGAAGGGAGCGTCCTGGACAGCACTTGGGCCCCTTGGCAGCTTTTCACCGGTCAAAGTCAGTCACGTGGCCACCGCGAACAGTCCTGCCCACGTTTCATTGGTCAAAGGCAGCCACATGGCCACTGCGAACAGTCCTGCCCACGTTTCATTGGTCAAAGGCAGCCACATGGCCAGAGCTAACCTCAGATTGAGGACGTGAAGTCCTGTGTGCGCCAGAAGGCAGAGAATGGAAATATTTGGTGGACAACACTAATTACTGCTACGCTAGCCAAGTGACCTGTGAGCCTATTTCCTCTTTGGCAGAATGGGGGCCATCACGGTATTCACCTCAAAGACTGTAGTGAGGATTAAATGAGAAACATGACGTAAAACCCTTGGCCCAGGATATCACATGGAGTGAGTAAAACAGACTCTAGGTGTCCCTGCAGACAGCCCCCCGTGAGCTGAGACCAGGGCTGTCGAGGGCAGCAGGGATCAGCACGCCTGGCTCCTTCCTGCCTCTGCAAACACTCACCCTGGCGCCGGGGCCCCGGCACCGAGTAGCCAGCAGACACGGGTAACTCCCTGCAAACTGGCCCCTCCCACTTCCCAGGTCAATGACCACTTGGGCTAGGCAGCCTCATGGCCATCCCCCTCCACCCGGCCTCACCCACACCCGTCTCTGCGACTTCCTACCCGCCAAGGGACTTCATTGGGACAAAGTCAGCCTTGTGTCCCCATTGAGGACAGGGCTCCCAGAAGAAGGGGTAGGGGCCGTGGAAATGTGAAAGGGGTTCATATCCATTTTGCGCTGAGCCCTGTACTGGGTGCCTGACCTGGGTGACCTCGCTGTGACCTCATAGCCCTGGGATGAGGTTGAAGGTGGGTATCTTCATCTTGACAGGGAGCTGACACATGGGGTGGTTACATTCCTTGCCCAGAGTCACACAGCTGGGAAGGAGCAGAGCTGGAATTTGAACCCAGATCTCGGTGACGTGGAACACCACCCTTTGGTTTCTGGACTGTCTTTTGTCCATTTGTACAGACTTCCCTTTCATCCAGACTGTAAACGCACCTACAGCCCGATCTCGGATGTTTGGCCTTTGAGTCCTTCATGCTGTTGTGGGAGTGCCCGTCTCTGGAAGCATGAGGACCACGCTTTAGTCCCTGCTCAGCTCCCAGCTTACTGTGCAACTTTGGACAAGTCTCTCTACCTCTCTGGGCCTCAGTTTCTTCACCTGAACATGAAGGGGTTGAGCGATGGTCTTGGGGTTCTCCCCACCCCAGGATTCTGTGACTGTGAGAACTGTCCACACCTGTCCTGTGTTTGGCCCAGGTGCTGTATTTGAGTGCATTGCAGAGATGGTGAAGAGCCTGTTTGAGATTCCATGGATACTAATTAAACCTTCATTAACATGTGAAACCCAGAACAGGTTGGCTGGTTTAAGACTGCAGGGTATTTTGGTATTTGTGATCCACGGCAGTTCTTTCTCCCTTGCTATTTATAACAAATTCTGCTTTCCGCTACAGCTAAGTCTGTCTCCTCTGTAACAGAGGAAGTCAGGCTAAGCCTGTGCCTCAGCTAAGATCTGAGTCTGCACCCCAACAGGCCCTGTCTGGGGTCCTGAGCTCCTGCACAGGCAGACCTGGCCTCTGTCTCCAGGTGGGTGAGGGCAGGATGGGCTCACACCTGCCTCCCATGGAACCAAGCACAGCTGCTGGGGTGGGGCTGGGAGTTAGGGATAAAGGCCCAGAACTCGACTTCCACCCAGAACTTCAGGTTGAAGCTCCGAAAGCGTCTGCAAATGCCAATGCCTGGTGCTAACCCTAAAGAAGACCAAAGGGAGCAGGACTCAAGGTCAGGCCACCCCTGGGGACATTTCTAGAGCCTGAGGACAACTCTCTGGTGTTTTCGTTTGTGACTCAAGGGCCGTGCCTGAGCGAGCTGAGCCAGGTGGCTGCTTCTAGGCACTGCTGAGTATTTAAACTACAGTAGCGTGGGAGATTCCTGCCTTGGAGAGGCCCCCCGCCCCTCGCAACTCCCCCGGGTTCCCATCTGCCCAGACGCCCACAGCTCCTGTCAGGAGAAGTGATGGAGACCCAAGATGCCTGGGGGGGGAAGGGCCTCCACTCAGGACAAGAGTGGGGCTCAGGGCCAAATGCCTTAGCGTGCCCCTGTTTCTATCAGGCGGAGAGGGAAGGGTTGGGGGGCGGGGAGATACGCATGGGGGAGAAACTGAAGGAGGAGAGCTGGAAGGAAGGACGTAGACGGGGTGGGGACAAACCAGAGACAGGAGGCCTGGCTGTGCTGAAGCAGGAGAGACCCAAGGGGCTGCCCGGGCTTCCTGTGACCTGGCCGGCCTACGCCTCTCTGAGCTGCGTTTATGTCTCCTTCCTGCCTCTTGGGCCCCACCTGGCCTCTGTGCCCAGCAACCACCTCCCCTCTGAGCAGCGGCGCCCAGGGGTCAGGGCCCAGAGCTGCCATGCTTCTCCCTGGAGGCCCAGGAGGGAGCTGCTGCAGGGCTGGTGCAGCCGACCCGAGGCCCTGGCCTCCAGGAGGCCTGATTTCCCAGCACCTGTGCCTCCTTGCTTCTCCTGACTGACAGCCTGTGGCCTGGGGGGGTGGGGGGAGGGGGGAAGGGCAGTGACTCTGGCGCCATTTCCCAGCAGCGAAGCTGTGAGTCAGAAGGGTCTCCTGTTCTCAGAAGTCAGAGGGGACTTCCTGGAGGCAGGAACCAGAGTTGAGCTCCAGAGAAGTCCAGAGTCTGGTGGGTGAAGGAGCCACTTTAGAAAGTGCCGGCTGCCCTCCAGGAGGGCGCCTCTTGGAGCAAAAGCCCGTGCCAGCCTAGCTCTTTTCCCCCGGGGAAGCTGCTTGAGGGTGACTTGGGGCGTCTGGAACCCGACGCATCACTTCAGATTCTGGGTCTGCTGGGCGAGACACAGTTTTCCCTTCTGCAAACTGAAAAGGAACTATAAACACTAGCTCCCAGGTTATGCGAATGAAAGGAGAAGATGCTCGGAGAGTATCTGGTTCGTGCGTATGGTCTGAACTTGGTGAACTCGCCATCTGTGTTGGGTCCATGGTTGGGGAGCGAACGCCCAGGGCCTGACTCCTCCACCCTCTGCTGGCCTCCCGCTCTGGGAGGGGTGACTTAGGAGCCCCAGGTTCAAAACCGCCAGTACAAAGTGCAGGATCCCACCAGGACCTGACCCCTCCCCCACCTCCACCCTGCTGGGGGTGCCCCTGCTTTCCATCAGGATGGGGGAAGGGTTGATTTGCCCTTGAAATTCGCCCTTGAAATTATCTTTGCTTTTGATCTGATCTATTAAGGGATCTGGGCTACTGGGCAGAGCAGTCATCTGTGGGGGTGGGTGGTGGAGGGACAGGGAGGATGGTACGCCCATCCTCGGACCCTAACCCACACCTGTGCCAAAATCTCTGACGTGGTTTCATCATCTGAGGGTGACGCAAGCCGTCTGGAGCCAGAGTCACTGTCTCCCGTCCCCCAGAGAGCTCCCTTCACATCTGGAGCTGCAGCTGCGTCCTGCACTTGGGCCCTTTCCAGGGATGGGAGCTGGCTGGAGGGGACGGAGGGCAGCTGGTGAGGGGGCCCGTGAATGGCCCCAATGTTGGGCACTGCAGCGGGAGGGGGGTGCAGAGAGAAGGTGCCTGGGCCCAGCCAGAGGAGAGATGGACTGCAAAGGGGACTGACTTCTCACAGCTCTGCCCTGCGCGTCAAGCCCCCAGGGCTCCCCTCGGCCTTCCTGTCCACCCCCCAGCACCTACGCAGGTGCCCCCTTTGTGTGCTCCTGTCCCCCAGAGAAGGTCAGGCCTCCCGCACTGATCCTCTGCCCCTGCAGCCACAACAGGCAGAGTGGGAGCCCAGGCCCAGTGGGGCCATCGGAGGGTCTCAAAGGCCTAGCAGAAGGGAGGGGCCGTCCGGCCTAGGAACCGAAAGAACCAACCCAAGATGAGCTCAGAGGTGCTGCAGGGCTGAGGTGGAGGGGATCTTAGACACTACCAAGAATCTCCGTCAACAAAGGTCAGCCGGCGCACTGGAGCGAACGCAGAAGGGGGGCCTCCCTGGTGCTTTCACAATAGCGACCGCTCATCGCTGTGGGCACGTGGAAGGGAAGCCCTCGGCCCGGAGGCCTGGGTTCTTACCCACGCTTCGCCACTAACTCGCTGTGACCTTGGGCAGTTCCCCTCTCTGCGTTCCAGTTTCCTCATTTATGAAACGGGGGTGCCCTCGAGGCCGAGGCTCCGGCAGGTCAGCTTCTCCGCGCACGTCCCTCTGCCCCCGCCCCCCCTGGACCCGCCACTCCCGCTGGCACGCGGGCGGACGCGCGCCAAGAGGGCCTTTTAATGGCTCCAGCCCCGCCCCTGTTGCCGGCTCGGGCTTTCGATTGGCGGGCCGGGTCGGGGGCGGGGCTCGAGGGCCTGGGCTGGAGCTCCGGGCGGGGCGGGGACCGAGCCGGCCCCCGCCCCCTTTGTCCGCGCGGCGGTGCGCGCGGGTGGGAGGTGTGCGCGCGGGGACCGCGCTGTCCGCCCGCTGTCATCCAGCTCGGGCTGCCGCCCGATGGCACGAGGGGGCGCGCGGGCCCGGTCCCAGGGAGCCACCCCCGGCCGCGGGTGACCCTCCTTCTGCGCCCGCGAGCATGTCACCTCCAGCCACCGCGGCCCCCTCCGTTTGCAGCGCCCGCGCCTCCCGCCGCGGCCTGGGGCACTGGCCCCCGGACCCCCGCCCCTGATCCACCCCCAGACCCTGGCGCCAGAGGGCCATGGCCGGCCAGGGGGACTGCTGCGTCAAGGTGGCCGTCAGGTAGGGGCCGGCGCGCGCGCGAGGGTCTCGGGCTTTGTGTGGCGCGGGCGCGGGGCCACTCGGTCCGGAGCCTGCACTCCCGAAGGAGGGGCCGCGTGAGCCCGCGGGCCGCATGGAAGGTGGCTTTGTTTGGGTGGTAATTTCGGGCCCCTCTCGGGAGCCCTTAATAATCAGAAAATCGAATAAACAAGGAAATCCGGTATTTCACACCCAGCTCTGGCCCGAGCTGAGCGTCTGTGTTTCCTCTTCGCCTCCCCGCTGGGCTGCTGTCTCGTATGGGGGTGATGGGGGAGATTTTCCCTTATCCACCCCAGCTGGGTGGTTCTGCGCTCTGGGTCCCGCCAGGCGAGGCAACACCCCCGGCTGGGAGCCGTCTGCAGACAAAGATCAGTGCAGGGCTGGGATGGTGCCTTGCCTCTGCTGGGAGGCAGAGAGCCCTGCCGGGCCTGTCCCAAGGGGAGATGTGGCCTGGGGACCCAGGAAGACGTGTCCCTGGGATTCCATCTCTAGGAGGCCAGACGGGCGTGCCGCGTGACCCATCCTGGGGCGCTTAGATAAAATGGAGTGGGGAGGGCCCCGTGACTTATCCGGGGTTTGAGGTGATACCCTGACCCCTGAGTTGGAGAGAAGATGAGCTGGGGACTTCCACCTGAAGGGGCTCACCGACCCAAAGGGCAGGAAATGCTGCAGAGTTGGGCCGTGGGTGTCCTTTGTTGGGTGGAGACGCTTTCCACCACACCTCCCCTCCCTGTTTTTGTTTTGGGTTTGTCTCCCTTCGAGGGGTCTGTTGGTGGGACAGTGACAGTCTGGAGCTGCTCGCCGAGCAGGGCTGGTGGAGAGGAGCACCCATCTCTGCCCAGCCTTGTGTGTCTGTGTGGGGAGGGGGGCTGTGGGGGGGGGCTGGAGCCAGGTCTAGGGTGGGTCTCTAACACAGGTGTTCGGTGACCCAGTTTCCAGGAGCCCAGGGACATCATTCTAGACAGGGTCAGAGAGGACTATGGAAAAGTTTGCCCCTTGCTGCCCCAGGGCATGTGCCTCAGCCCCCTGGCCAGCCGTCTGCAGCTCAGAGAGGAGGGGCTGCTGCTTAGGGCTCTGGGGTCGAGGAAGGGAGACTGAGGTGCCCCCTGCCCATGCACCAGGCTGCACTCGGGCACGACTTGAGCGCAGCCTTGCCGCCCCGAGGAGAGAGACAAAGGGGAGCCTGCAGGTGCCTGCCGGGCGGGCGGGGCCAGGCTGCTGTGGGCTGACATTGCTGCAGGAGGCTGTGGAGGTCGAGGGAGGGAGGTGCAAGGCTGGGGGTGGGAGTGAGAGGTTCAGCATGGCACCTGCAGATGGGGGTGCGGGGTCTGGGTGCACATAAAAGGAAAATGAAGTCCTGACCCCCCTACCAGCGGGAGCCAGAGCTGGGGAGGAAGAGGCTTAGGGTACCCTCCCATGGGGGTCTCCTTTAGAACTACCTTGCAGGAGAGAGACAAACAAGGCCCCCTCCCCTCTGTCAGGGCCCCCAGACTGGGGCATGGCCAAGGCCCGGGAAGCCCGTTGGGGTTGGCACTTTGTGTAGAGGACTGAGGGAGAGACTGTGTAGAGGACTGAGGGAGAGACTGTGTAGAGGACTGAGGGAGAGACGGTGCCCCCCTTCCCACCACCACCAGAGGGTCCCTGGGCCACTTTCCACAGAAAGGGGGTTGGACCCCCTTTCTAGAAGGGGGTCTGCCACTAGACCCCCTTCTTCGGGCTATCCGGTGTCATCCCTGCTTCCCACTCAGATCACCTGGGCGATCTGGGTGCCTCACTCCTTGCCCCGAGCTGCCGATCTGGATGGAGGAGTGAGGAGACGAGAACATCAGAAAAGCCAGGCTTTCAGGGCTCCTGGAAGGTGCGGCCCCGCCCACCCCAGTCCGCACAGGCCAGCCAGACCTCAATGGGCAGCCAGCTGTGGAAGGCAGACAATGCCTGGACAGAGCCCAGCTTCTAGTTGGGGAGCTGAGGACAGGCCTGGCCTGGGGCTGGGCTGGGGAGCGGGCGGGGCCCCTGGGGCGCTGAAGGCGGGGCTTCTCCGTGCTTCTGGCCCCGTGCTAGGCCCCAGCCCCACACCCAGAACCCTCTCATCCCCCCTAGGGCAAGGATGGTGGACTGGGATACAATGCGAAGAACCGAGGACCCAGCCCTGGGTGCAGCTGTCTTTCTGACTTTCTGAACGCCCTTCTTTTGTATCTAACTGAAGTGCTTTCTGAGTCCCCATGAGAACAACTTGTGGGGAGCCCTGGGTCCTGCCCTTGGGACGAGGGAGGCCAGGAATGAGACAATGAGGCAGACTGGGTCTGCTGTGTTGTGTGTGTGTGTGTGTGTGTGTGTGTGTGTGTGGTGGGGGGGGTAGTTCTGGGCTCTTAGATGAGGTGACAAGGGCCAGGCCCAGGGCTCCTGGCCTGTAATCTCCTTGGGACCAGGATCAAAGCTGGCTGTCTACAGATCACTGCAGAGAAAGGCCAGGCTGGGGGAAGCTTTCAACACCTGGGGCTGTGAGATAAGGAGAGAAGGTCTAGGTGTGAGCAGACCCCAAAAGCCCCACCCTGGAGTGTGGTTCCTCTGCCCCTGAACCCTTTGTACCGAGAGATCCCCAGGCCAGGATCCAGCCTGCCTGCCCTCCTTGATCCATCAACCCCCTTGCAGATAAGGACCTAGATCCCTCTCTACCTGGGGGATGGGAGGGGGGGGGTCTGGAGAGAGGTGAGCTGCGCCATGACCTGCCCCAGGCTGCGGCCACTGGGGAAGGGGCGGCAGTTAGGAAATGCAAGCTGGTAAAGTTCAAATTGGGGAAGGGAGCCAACCACGTGGTGTGTTTATGTAAGACCCTTTCGAGCCCCCAGCTCTGAGCCCCCACCGTGAGGGCAGTGCTGGGGGACCTGAACCCTCCCCCTTATCTCTGCCTGGTTTCCTTAAGCTTCCTTCCGGCTGTCTGCTGGGGGTGGGGAGGCCCCTCAACCAGCCCCATATCTATATGTGGGCCCTACAGGGTTGAGCAGAGGCTGGGAAGGGGATGGGGAGCTCCAGCCAAGGACCCCAAGGACACTGCTGGGTTGCACCCACCCTCACCCACTCAGGCTCTGGAGCTGTGTGCGTTTCCCCAGCTCCGGGCTGCTCTGAAGTCCTGGTCAATGTCTGAATTTTGAATCAAGAGAATGGGTGACTTGGGATAGAGAGATTGAAGAAGACAGGAAAAGGTGCGAGGGTGGGGTATGGGGAGCCAGCAGGGCCCCACCCTCTGGCCCCAGGCCCGTCAGCGCCCAGGCAGTGCCAAGTGCGTCCCATGCCAGGCAGCTTACAGGTCTGGGAAACCAGGGCCCACAGGACCTCCTGAGCACTTGGGGGTGGCCTCGAGCTGCAGACACAGGGCTTATGTCATCACAAGGAAGTGGAGAGTAGTAACCACAGGCCCCGGAAATGTGCCCCCACCCCCCAGCCAGCCAGCCTGTCTGATTGGATCGCAGCTTTTCAAAACCTCTACCAGCAGTGGGGTGGGGCTGGGGGAAGTGGCAGCCCCTGCAACCCTGCTGGCACCCTTACAGCTGGGGGGGGGGCAAGGGGAGGACCTGGGGTCCACACAGTCTGTCCTCAGGCTGGTCATGGGGCCCCTGTTCTGTTGGTCCGTCCATGACTGTCAGGGGAAAAGCAGGATTCGCCTCCAATGCGTTGACGGGTCGGTTGATGGCGTGCTCTGGTGGAACGGAGACTGAACAGGGAGGCGGCTAAGCATTAAGACTGACCCCTCCTGTGTGCCGGACACTGTACCTTCATCACCCTGCTTCACCCCCACCCCACTGGAGCCCCAGGGGTGACTGAGGTTATTCCCATTGAAAATGCAGGGATTCCATCTGGTGGGAGCCCATCAGGGTGTTGGGGGGGGGCGCCTGGGCTTCCTGTGGGCTGCAGGTCCACCTGAGGCTGGAGAGAGGATGTGCTGAGGAGAGCTGGCGTGGGCACTGGGGCCCAGGGCCAGTGTGGCGGGGCGAGGCCCACTGCCTCTGAGGCCAGGCGCCTGTTGCTCTGCATTCCTCAGCAGGGGAGGCCCCCAGGGCCCAGTCCCTACGCGCCGTCCCCATCAGATGCAGACGCTGTCACAGCTCTGGGCTCTGGGCACTTGCCTCCCTCCCCTGTCTCCTGGGAGGTCATGGGAAACCCCTGCCAGATGCCCAGAGATGGGGGTGGGATGGTGAGAGTGACGCTGGAGCAGAGCTGAACGGGGCTCTCTGGGCCGGGCTGGCCTCTCTTCCCAGACGGCAGAGGACTCGGATTGGGTGGCTCACACCCAGGCCCGTGTGGCCGACGGCAGGCTGGGGGTCTGTCCAGCTCAGGACGAGGACAGGCCCCTTCTCACATCCCTGCTCCCTGGCTTCTGACTTGTCACCCCATTCTGCTTGCCTGCTGCCTCCCCCTGTCTGGGGGTGCCCTGGAGAGCCATGGACAAGGCTGTCCCCAGGTGCCCTCCCCTGTTGAATGCCTGAGCCTGGGCATTGCTCAGAAGTCAGTGGCCAGGACTCGGGGATGAACCGAGAGAGGAAGGTCAGGACCTCCCCGGAGGAGGGAGTGGGGCCGGAGCCCCGGATCCCAGGCACCCTGAGTTGACGCCCTGGGGCTTCCGTGAGTTTTCCTGGAATGTCTGCACCTCTGCCCCGTGCTCTGGGTTTGCTCGATGGCAGGAGTCTGGCAGGGAGGGCTGACAGATTCCTGTCACCAGGCCTGCCAGGGCCCATTAACCGATGCCCTTTGACCCCATGGTACAGAACCTTCTCATCTGGGGGTTCAGAGCCAGTCTGGGCCTTTTCCCTGAGGGTAGCCTCAGCAGGGCTGGGCCCGGTGGGAGGCCAACAGGGTACTCTGGCTGCCACGGGGCTCTGGGGCTCTCCCCACACTGCACCCCAAATGGGATCTTGCCACACCCTGTTCTAGAGAGGACTGGCCTGTAGGAATACGCGTTCTCTGGGCTAAGTCAGCTGAAAGCC